CCCCCCCCCCCCCCCCCCCCCCCCCCGGAGGAATTTAGAGACGGTTCTGTCATCTCCAGAACGGATCTCGTTCCTCCACGCAGAAGTTCAGGAAATTCTGATTAAAAAATGTAATTTCTAGGGTTCCAGACGGAGAGGAAAACACATCCGCTACACAGAGCAGGGATGAGAATTCTGTTTTATCTGGATGATCTGTTGCTGCTGACCTGTTTTCCAGACAGGAGGCAGCAGTGCAAACTCAGGCGCTGACGTCACACCTGCAAAATCTGGGCTTCACCATAACAGGGAGAAGAATGCAGTTATCCCGGCCCAGATGATTGTTTATCTGGGAGTGAAGCTAAACGCAGTCACTACGAGGGCTTGTTTATCTCAGACGGGAACCGAAGCTCTAAAGGACCAGCTCCTCCACGTGAAGCCGGCAGAGTGATAACAGCTGTTTTCCATCATAAAGTTATTAGGGACAATGTCGCCTGCTCACACGGTGCGATGCCTCCAGAGGTGGTTCGCTCGTTTGCGTGTGGACCCGGTGAGGCAAAAGAGACGGTTGATCGCTGTGCCCCCCTCCGTGAGAATCGACCTGAGACACTGGGAAACCCTCTTGTTCTGTCGGAGGGAGTCCCCGTCGGCAGACCTACGTCACACGTCTGTTTTCACAGACGCGCCCCTGCCGGGCTGGGGAGGCACATGCATGTCTCGAGCTGTGAGGGCGCTGTGGCCACCCCACACAGCAGCTTATATAAATGTTTTGGAATGTTGCACGGTTTTGAATGTGATTCAACATTTTGCTCCTGTGCTGCTGAATCAACATGTTCTGATTCACACAGTCAACAAGTGACTGCAGCATACATAAACCGGCAAGGGGGTTGTGCGCTCAGCCCAAATGTTACACATTGCGAGACGGCTGCTGTGTTGGGCACACCAAATCTTCTCTCCATCAGAGCAGTGTACATCCCCGGTGTTCTGAACAGAGGGGCGGATGTGATGTCCAGGGGCGGTCCGCATCACGGGGACTGGACCCTCCATCCTGAGCAGATGGCTCAGACGTGGCAGAAATTTGTTTGCCACACGAGAGAACGCTCAGTGTCAACCATGGTTCTCACTGAGCTCGCGGGACGAACCACCGCTAGGGGTGGACGCGTTTGCTCACAGCCCGTGGCCCAAAATGCTTCTTTACGCATTTCCCCCACTCCCTCTGATATCACGGTTTTTGAACTGAGTTCAGGAGGAGGGACTGACAGCCCTCCTGGTGGCTCCCAAGCGCATGAACGCCCCGTGGTTCCCAATTCTACGACGTCTGTTATTGGGGTGCCCGTGGAAACTGCCGTGGAGGGAGAATGCTCTCCTCCAGGCAGGAGGAGCGATCAGGAGTTACCCAGAAATAGGCCAGCACCTTTGGGTCTGGCCGCTGAGTGGATCCATTTTAGAGAGGATGGGTCTCTCTCAAGATGTGGTGTGCAAGATCCAGGTTTCACGTGCTGCCTCCACCACAGCGCTGTACACATCAAGTGGACAGCTTTTCAGTGCTGGTGTACGGAGAAAGGTGTAGAGGCCACCTCAAGTCCACTAGGTGGCATGCTGTCCTTTCTGCAGCAGCTGATGGACAGAAATCTGGCGTTCAACACGATTAAAACGTACGCTGCAACCATTTCTTCTTGTCACAAAGGTTTTGGGGACAGAACAGCTTTTAATCATCCGCTGATGAAGCATTTTTTTAAAAGGTGTACAGAGACTCAGGCCTGTGTCACGCACACTTTCTCCATAGTGGGTTTTAACGCTGGTTTTGCGAGCCCTGATCAACGCTCCACTCGAGCCACTAGATCAGGTTCTGATTAAATTCCTGTCTCTTAAAACAGCCCTGCTGCTGGCTTTAACATCCGCTAAGAGGGTGAGTGATTTATCTGCCCTCTCTGTCGCTCCGTCATGTCTCAGAATTCAGGCTGATTGCAGCTCAGCTGATCTGAGGACTAATCCAGCGTTTATGCCTAAAAACATCACAAGCTCATTTAAATCAATTTATCTTCTACAATTAAGTCTGTTTTTTAAAAAACTGAATAAATGAATGTAACCAGGTTAAGTCAAGTCCTCTGGGCTGATTCTTCTTGTTAGAATCCGTCCAGATGACCTGACTCAACCTGGTTATATTAAGAATGTATTTTTTCCCAGATGTAGATACTTCGTGTTTCCAGACACAGCAGTCTTTTCTCCTCCATGTTGGGCTGGCTTGTTCTTTTTTTTAAACATAGCTCTCTTTGTGTTGTCACAGGTTAAGGAGGGTCTGGTTTTGTCTGTTGCTCAAATAAAGTTGACTTCCTGGTGCGATGAGATTTTTTGCGTGTTTGCAGAACCTACAAGAAAACTCTTCATTTGTTTGATAATCCAGCTACAGGAAGGAGGTGGAACACCTGGAGAGCTGGTGCAAAGAGAATAACCTTCACATCACTAGCTATGTTTACATGCGCAGAATTATCTGACCGGATTGAAATGTGTTCTGTTTGAATAATTCAAATGTGTTGTTTACATGGGCACAATCTGTTCATGATGAGCGTTTACATGCAGCGGGCTTTGTTCTGAACAGCAGTACGGACATGCGCAGAGTGGTAAACTCTCCTAAAAAAAAACACCGAAGAAGAAGTTCTACTTCCGGGTGAACGTAAACAAACCTGAGCACCCAAAATGGACCCGTGACAGGTTTTAATGATGTTGGAGACGTTGCTGCACTCCCTGACTGAGCTACAGGTGAAACAGATCATTTTGAGCTCTTTAAAAGTTTCTAGTAGAAATGTTGTGTCGCTCACCGACCAGTTTTACTTCCCTGACATGCTAATATTATTAGCGTTAGCCAGGCGGAAATGGCAAAGTCGCACATGCGCAGTCAGGTCAGTTTTTCACCATCAGATAAAAACGAACATATCAAGCGTTTACATGCGCACCGATCGGGTTTCGGATCGGCGTAAACCACCCGTTTCGTTCTGATCACAAATTATAACGGATCGCGCCGAATACACAAAAAATAACCCGAACGGAGCGTTTACATGACACACTTTTATTCTGACCGGCCATTTGATCCGGTTACTTATGTCCATGTAAACATACCCAATGTGAAGAAGACAAAGGAGATGATTGTGGACTTCAGAAGGAATAAACACACCTACACCCCCCGAACACAAGAGGATCTGTGGTGGAAGTGGTCTCCAGCTACAAGAACTTGGGTGTGCACCTGAACAACAACCTCAGCTGGAGCAACAACACCACCAGCCTGATCAAGAAAGCTCATCAGAGACTCTACTTCCTCAGGCGGCTGAGACGAGCTGGTCTGGAAGCTCAGTCCTCACCTCCTTCTACAGGTGTGCAGTGGAGAGCATCCTGTGCTCCAGCATCAACGTGTGGCATGGAGGCTGCACAGCTGCAGAAAGAAAAGCTCTGCAGAGAGTGGTGAAGGCTGCACAGAAGGGCATTAACAGAGTACTCGAGTAATCTACACATCGATTGCTAGGACATCTATCGAGGTTAAAAGTTTAACATTGAGTATCCGTAGTGACGTCATATTATGTGACCACCGTATGACCGTAGGGTGTTGCACTGTTGCAGGTCACAGAGTATGGTATAACACCGGGTCCAATCCACCAGAACCAGTTTCGGTTTAAGTTTCGTTTCTGACGTGCTGCATGTTTCTTCACGTTTGCAGTTTAATAATAAAAACTAATAGTTTATTTTTTCCTGTGACTTATTTGCAGTATGATAAATGGTAGGAGCATAATATACGCTCCCAATGTTTTGTTGGTCTTTTTTTTTTTTTTTTTGTAAATAATGACCTTTTTTTGCGGTTTTATTTATTTATTTATTTTTGCATCTTGAGATCTATGACGTCATCAAATACTCGAGTTCTACTCGGGTTTTATTATGGTAATGTTGAGTTTAAAAATTATATACAGTACTTGGTTCAACCCCTACTCCACAGAAGATGTTGGAGTCAGTCTCCCCACCATCACAGACATCTACACCTCCAGATGCAGGAAGAGGGCCACCTGCATCATGAAGGACCACACTCACCCAGCACACACACTGTTTGCTGATCTGTTTCATGTTTAAGTGTTTATGCGTGCTCATCTGCTCACGCAGACTCGTGCTCATGCTCATTCTGATGTTCGACGTAATGTTTTTATGCTACTAGTGCTTAATGTATATTTAGTTGATGTTTTTCTTAGTTCATATCTTAGATGTTGTCATTGATTTTCTTTTACATTTTTATTGTTGGATGTAACTGGGACCCTGTGAACATAATTTCATTCGCACCACATGTACCACATGAGGTGGGACGACAATAAAGAATCTCTGACTCTCTGATTCTTTCTCTAATCATCTTGTGTTGCTTTTTCTACAAAATGCTTAAATGCTTTTAATGATCAGCTCACCTGACCTCCTTTTCATTTGTGTCTTTTCTGTTTTGCCTTGCTCTGTGTTCAGTGTAGCTCGAAGGGAATCCTGCTCGAGGGATTCGCATTTCGTCAATGAGGAACTACCGGCTCATCTTCTGCCACAACCTGAAGCAGCCATAGATGGTTGAGAGGTTTACCGGCCAGAGGAGGAGAGGATAGGACACACTTTCACTGCTACACGGTAACTTTGCTCTCCACAGCCTCATCTATGCCCGAGTCCAGAAACACGATTCTTTCTCAAACCGTTTCATTCAACCCAAAAAAGTTCAATCTGGTCCTCTGGACATTCAAAAAAACAAAAAACAAAACAAAGCAAAAAAATCTAGAAACGTTTCGTCTCTCTTCCAAGAGACTTCCTCAGTCTGAGGTGCTGTATTCAGCTCAGTCTCTTAAATAGCACCTTCTCAGAGTGGATCAACCAGTTTGCTGCTGACAACCAGAACCAGCTGATCACATGCTCAAGAAGGACCATCAGCCTAACAATGGATCATTAGCACCTGATGGCTGTTTACTGTTCACAGAGGGCTGAGTGATACTAGCAATCACAGCATTGTAAGAGGGGGACAGTTGAACCCGGAGGCTCCGCCCCTGTTTAATGATGGACGGTTTCTTTTCACAAAGATGGCCTCCTTTACTCCTCTCTCAAACCATCGTTCCTCTCTGTCCAGGATGTGAACATCTTCATCCCTGAAAGAGTGACCGCTGGCCTGGAGATGAGTGTAGACCTCAGAGTCCTGGCCTGATGATGTTGATCTTCTGTGCTGGTCCATCCTTTTGGCCAGTGGCTGTTTAGTTTCCCCGATGTAAGACTGATCACCCTCCTGACACTGAACAACATACACAACATTACTCTGTTTGTGCCGGGGGACTGGATCTTTGGGATGAACCAGTCTTTAATGTATTTTGGGGTTTAAAAGCCACTGGGACGTTGTGTTTAGAAAATAAACGTCTCAGTTTCTCTGATACTCCCTCAACATATGGAATGACCACTGGTCTGGGTCTGGGTTCCTCCTTTTCACCTGTTGGCTGACTGGAGTCCTGTTTGGGTTTCTTCTCTGCTTTCAGGAAGGCCCAGTTAGGATATCCACATTGCTCTAGAGCCTGTCTTGTGTGGGATTTCTCCTTCTGCCTGGCTCCTGAGCTAGTGGGGACGCTGTCTGCTCTGTGGTACAGAGTCCTGATGACTCCTAACTTGTGCTCCAAAGGGTGATGGGAGTCAAACTGCAAATACTGGTCTGTGTGGGTGGGTTTGTAGTACACCTCAGTTTGCAAATGTCCTCTATCAGAGACTGAGACCTCACAGTCCAAGAAAGCCAACTTGTCATTTTTTACATCTTCTCGTGTGAACTTGATGTATTTATCCACAGAGTTGATGTGGTCAGTAAAATGTTGGACTTCCTGAGATTTAATTTTAACCCAGGTGTCGTCAACATACCTGAACCAATGACTTGGTGG